AGCAAAATTTAACTTGTGTGTTATAGTAATGACACTGTTTGATAATTTCCACATTCTGTTGGGTGACTTTTCTTTGGAAGGGGAACAAATATGGATCTCTTGCAGTTAGTTGACCAGGTAGCTATCGTCCAAATTTTGGTGCACATGAGTGAGTGTTCCAGTGCTCGTCAGTTTGTTAAAGGCTTTCTATTTGTATTCCATCAATTCCTGGAACTTTGTTTTATGCTAATGCATTCAGTACAGCTTGGTGTATTCCTTCATTTTTATCAGTTCTTGCAAATATGCTTGCCTGCCTCTCATCTATCCTGGTCTTTTCCCAAATAGCAGATTTTAATTTATTTTTTAATATATTTATTATTTTTATTAGCCCAATTCTATTTCTTTTTCTGTTTTCTCTCCCTCTTCTTCTCTCTCCTCTCCTCCTATTTTTGTTTTATTGTTTCTTTTATTCCTCTCTTTCACCATTTTTTTTTCTCTCGCTCTCTTTTTTTCTCTTTCACCGCTTAATGAGTCAATGACCCCAATCTCACCCAGCCTTCCTCCCATCCCTAACAGCTGTGTCACAATGTCGTGGAGACAGCAGGCAATATCAGTCCACATAAGAAACAACAACAAGAAAAACAGGTACAGACAAGTGAGAAAGTCCAAAGAAATTTTCTGGAGAAGAAAAGCCACTGGGATTGCTAGAAAAAGAATTCAGAACAATGATGCTCATATACTTGACTGGAGAAAGAAACCAAAGAATTATGTGGGGGAAATAGAAAGACTAGAACCGTACAACAACAACAGAAAATAGAAATTCAAAAGATGACTGCTATAATAACAGAATTAGCATTGTAAGAGAGCAGAATAATAGAATCAAAGAAATGGATGGCCAACTTAGTCAGTTTGGAAACAAATCTCACGACTATAACCTACAAAGGAACAAATCCGTCGGGTTAACAAGTGGGAAGGGGGAAGCGAGGAAAGCTAAGTCAATAAACTAAAGGGTCAACAGATGGCAACTTGCGTCACAGAGAAGATGGTGATCCACAGAAGGAGAATATAAGTCAAAGTAGGGGAATAGAGGAAATTATTGGGGGTATTTGTTAAATACTTTTAATTGTTGAATACAAACTCAATGATCTTAAATGTAAACCCCCACCAAACTCACAGTAAAAATATTGTAAAAAAAAAAAAAGAAACTCCATGAGTATAATGTGAATTATGACATAATATTATATTATAGTTGTCTAATGTCAAGCATAAATCCAATGGAAGTAGATGAACATCATTCTTCTGAATTCTTTTTATGGTAATTCCTGAGGCTTTTCTTCTTCAGAAAATTCCTTTAGACTTGGGTATTGTTCACTTGCTTGTACCTGTTTTGGGGGTTTTTTCTTTTTGGTTTTTCACATGAACTGATAGTGATTGGTGTTTCCATGGCACTGTGATGTAGCTGTTAGCTGTGGAAGGAAGGATGGGTGGTGTTGGGGTAGTTGACTACAATAAGTAATGAATGATAGGAATAATAGAAACTATAAAACAAAAAAAGAGAAGGAAAAGAGAGAGAAGAGTTATATTTAAATTTGAACCCAAAGAAAATTTGGCATTTCTCCTGATTTGACAACATGTTTCATGTTACTTGTAGCACATTAAATAAAGTTACTTTTGATTTAGAAAAATAGGGAAATATTTTGTCACTTTTCACAAAGTTTCAGACTTGTAAATACTTTATCACGGGTCATTGAGAAATCATACTTGAGCTAATTAGCAAAGATCATAATAGTAAAATGTTAGCTTTTTAAAAAGTCATGTGGTTTGGTTTTTAATCCAAGAATTTGTTCTGTCAAACTCTTGCTTTTAAGGCTGATTGTATAAAGGAAGAAATGAAATTCTCCAACCCAGTAATCAAAGAAAATTTTGTTGTTTCAACAATGACAAACCCAATTATTTGATTTATAAGCTTTTTAACATTGAAACTCTTTAAAATTCTCATAAAGTAACCTATTAAATCAACAAATAACACCTTTGATCATATGAAATAAATCCCTTTTAATAGACCTTTTAAAGTTCCTTTCCTTGTTATGGATGTCTTACAGTAGATAGACCCCTTTAAGTGGAAAAATTGGACATACTTATTATATATGTATATATAAAACATATATGTGGATGACATATATATACATTATTGCTGCCAAGTGGCATAAAAAAAGAGACCATAAGTTTCAATTTTAATAGAACTACAATTTAATATCAGTAAGTTGCTAATCTCACTTTAATATCAGTAAGTTACTAAATATCTTGGAAATTATTAGGCCTACATATTACATTGTCTGGGTTTATCATCTGCCATTTCAATGGCACCTAATAACAACAGCTCGGTTGAGATTGAAATGGTAAAGGATTAGAACAAGTTCCTGAGAGATAAAATACCAGCTTGAGAATGTTGTTGTTGTCTGAGGTCATTGAGTCATGGTCAACACGTAGGACCCTAAGCACAACAAAACGAAACTCGGCCTGGTCCTGTGCATCCTCATAATTGTGTCAGTGCTTCAGCCATTATTGTAATATGTCAATCCATCGCATCGATGTGCTTCCTCTTTGTTGCTGCCCGTTTACTTTACCAAGTGTGGTGTCCTTCCCGGGGCACTGTTCTGACAGCATGTCCAAACAACATCAGACAGTCTAGCCATCCTTGCCTCCAAGGAGCATTCTGGCTGTACTTCTTTCAAGAGAGATTTGTTTGTCCTTCTGACAGTCCACGGTACTTTCAATATTCTTCTCCAGCAATTCAAATTCATTGATGCCTCTTCAGTCTTCTTTATTCTATGTCCAATGTTCATGTAATAAGAGGCCATTGAAAATACCCTGACTTGGATCAGGAGCATGGTAGTCCTCACAGTAATATCCTTGCTTTTTAATACTTTTACTTTTTCAGTACTTCTCAAGAGTTCTTGCACCTCCGAATTACCTAGTGCAATGTGTTCTTTGAGTTCTTGACTGCTGTTTTAATCATCGTTGCTACTGTATCTAATAAAATGAAATACATGACAACTTCAATCTTTTCTCCATTTATATCGGTCCAGTTGTGAGGAGCTTTATCTTCTTTGCCTTGAATTTTAATCCATGCTGAAGGCTGCAGTCCTTGATCTTCATCAGGAAGTGTTTCAAGTCCTCCTCTCTTTCAGCAAGCAAGGTTGTGTCATCTGCATATTACAGGTTATTAATAAGCCTTCCTTCAATCCTGATGCCACATTCTTCTTCATGTAAGCTAACTTCTTGGCCCCTTTGCTCAGCATACAGATTTAATAAGTGTGGTGAGAGGCTACAACCCTCTCATACACATTTCCTATTTTAAAACATGTAGTATTCCCTTGTGCTGTTTCCACAACTGCCTCTTGGTCCATGTACAAGTTCCACATGAGCACAATGAATTCAGTAATTCCCCTTCTTCTAAAGGTATCCGTATCCATAATTTATCCATATCCGTATCCATAGTTTGTTATGATCCACACAATCGAATGCCCTGTCATAGTCGATGAGACACAAGTAAACATCTTTCTGGTTTTGTCTGTTTGCATCCAACATCCATCTGATATCAGCAATGTTCCATGTCCTCTTCTGAATCTGGCCTGAACCTCTGGCAGCTCCCTGTCAATGCTCTGGTACGTGGTTGGATGATCTTCAGTAAATTTTCCTTGCATGTGATCTCAATAATATTGCTCCATAATTTGAGCATTCTGTTGGGTCACCTTTCTTTGGAATAGGTACAAATATGGATCTGTTCCAGTCAGTTGGCTAAGTAGCTGTCTTCCCAATTTCTGGGCAGAGATGAGTCAGTGCTGCCACTACTTCATCAGCTTGTTTAAACATTTACATTTGTATTCCATTAATTCCTAGGGCCTTGTATTTTGACTAATGCTTTCAGTGCAGCTTGAACTTCTTCCTTCAGCACCATTGGTTCCTGCTCAAATGCTACCTCCTGAAGTGGTGGCATGCCAACTAGTTGGGTTTTTTTGGTACAGTGACTCTGTATTCATTCTATCTTCTTTGGATGATTCCTGCTTCATTCAATATTTTGCCAATAGAATCTTTCAACATTGCAACTTGAATCTTGAATTTTTTTCTTGAGTTTTTTCAGTTTATGATATGTTGAGCATGTTCTACTTTTTTAGTTTTCTAATTTTAGGTTTTTGCACATTTTGTTATAATACGTATATAATATAATATAATATTTATTTTATTGTCTTCTTGAGTTGCCTGTTGGAATTTATCTTCAACTCTTTGACTTCAATATTTCTTAGATGTGCTATAGCTAGTCTATGATTAAGAGCAAATTTCTGACATCCACTCGACCTTTTCTTTCTTTCTTGTCTTTTCAATGACCACCTGCTTTCTTCATGAGTGGCGTTGCTGATGTTCACTCACAGCTCATCAGGGCTTCTGTCAGTAGGGTTCAATGTAGCAGATCTTTTCTTGTGATGTTCTCAAAATTCAGGTGGGTCATACTTTCTCTTTTAATCATTCTCTATCACCTTCAATCTAAACTGACGGGTTTTCTACTGTGGTGGTTGGGTCGCGCCATCAGTCACAGGCTTAATTTCGGTTAGAAAAGATTATGTACTCATGTCCTTGTTGAAAATTGTAGAACATTTGTGTTTAGTTTATATAACAGATTTTTTTTCAAATCTTTAAGTTTTGTTTTCCCCTTATACCACTAATTTTTAAGTCCACTTCTTTCCTTTCACTTTGTACTACAAGCAACAGGGAGAAACCATGTAGCCCCTTTAAGATCTTGCTTAGAAATTTCCTCAGCTAAATGATACTCAAGGTCATCACCGAGAAGTTCTGCCTTCTACCAAGCATGCCATAACAGACTCCATGTTGGTTTTGCTTCATAGGCACACATCCAAAGTCACCTTCTGCACGATCACGATGCTACTTACCATGACTTTGCTTTGCTTTGTCCCTGGGAAAAGACAGGATTGCACTCAACCACGGCTTCTCTGTCTTCTCAGTTGCAGCAGTTCTTCAGCAACATGTTGGATGAGCAGCAGCGGATCACGGTGCAAGACAAATTAGAGCTAATAAAGATACAGAATCTTGAAAACAAAAAGTGGAATGCCAGGATAATTAAGTGGCTGAAGAAGAATACATAGCCCAGTGACCGCTCTGAGAATGCCTCCTTTACTGCATTGTGATCAGTTGTGTCATACAGGATTTTGTGACTCTAAGGGCGACACATCTTGTTATTTGCTTTTAGTCACATTTACTGCTTAGAGTCTGTTTTTCCCAGTGTCACATTTGACCTTGAGGCTCAGTAATGGCCTAGGATTTTGCCAATGCCATTGTATTTCTGGGGAAGATTTCATTTCATCTTGGGCAATTATTACCTCCTCCCCACCCCTACCCCTGCACACACTAATTCACATCCATTGCCTCATGGTGATTTGGACTCCTGGGGACCTTATCAGGGTTACCAAGGCTGTAATCTTTATGAGAACGTAATATCACATCTTTGTCCTGTGGAACAGCCGGTGGATTTGAACCACTGACCTTAAAATCTGAGTGCTAAACCACTGCACCATCTGAACCCCTTATCTTGAATTATAAATTAACTGAATTTACTTCAAATGGCTTTTTAAAACAGATTTACCTGAGAAATTCTTGCTTATTCTGTTGTGAAAGCAAGTGGAATATTAAATAATTGGCATAAACATGAGCATATTCTGTTCTGGGGGAAATACAGATTTGCAGTAACATCAGGTTTATTTAAGCCAGTGTTTAAAAGAGTCCTGAGAAAATAATATGACAAAATTATAAAGAAACAACAAGAAAATTAATGTCCACTAGAAAATACAAAAGCCAAAGAAATGCAAGTTGTATAAAGAAAGAGCAGACAATTTAATCAGCCATGCTAAGTGTCTCAAAGGCAAGAAATCTCCCTTCTCCCCATTTCTTTCTCAACATAGCACCTTATAATTACCTACTTTACTGGAGGCTA